TTCCTTTCCTTTCCTTTCCTTTCCTTTCCTTTCCTTTCCTTTCCTTTCCTTTCCTTTCCTTTCCTTTCCTTTCCTTTCCTTTCCTTTCCCTTTCTGCCTTAACGATCCAATTCTGCTGCCAACATACAGAATCAAAATTACCATTTTAACAGATGTGTTTATTAAGTGCTGGTAAATATTGTGTCATTTCTGTTGTCCAAATCCCCTGAGCTGCATGCTGAGAGGAAACATTCCATGAGTTAGGGCTGGGGTTGTGTGGGAATCACAAATGTGAGAATGTGGGAAAGGAACGGGTTCTTCTTCCCTGTGTCCATGCACCAGCCTGGCCAGGACAGCGCAGGGAAACACAGGATGGTCCCAGCATCCTGACAGCCCCTCTGCAGAGCTGTTTCACCCCAAATTTCACACATTTTTCCCTGCCTTCTCCAGTCATCGCTSTGTCCCCATGGCAGGAATTGTGTCCTGGGAGCAGAGTGACATGCAGATGTCCCTGCAGTGTCACCAGGAGCTGCCTGTCACTGCCTGGAGACCCCAGGTGAATGTCACAGCACGGCCAGGGCTGCTCCCTGGGTATCAGGACACAAGGAGCAAGTTGCCAGCTCCAAGGTACATGGAATAATTATTGTGATTATCCTGGAGGTGAGCAACTGCCCAAGTTAGGACTTTCAGTTCCACATCTTTAGTGGAGCCCCTAATTTCTTGTCTTCCCAGTATCTGATATTTCACAATTTCTCCTCTCTGGGTGACTCTCCCACACATCCCAGCCTGTTCACCTGGAGATATCAGAGTTCTGATCTGTGTGATTCGTGCCTCCAGCTCCTCCAGCCTTYGGGAAAGCAAATCCCTTCCTTTATTAAAGGACTTTCCTCCAGCACTGGTGAGTTCATGAAGGATAAAAGCATCACCTCTTGCTGTGACTGCTCCAGACACACGAGAGAATGTGAAGTGCACAAGGGTTTGCAGGCTGGAAGAAGCTGTTCCTGTGCATTAACTGTTCCCATTTTTCGCCTCAGGCCCCCAGGGAGTCCGGCAGGAGCTGCACAAAGAGCTGTAGGATGCTCCTGCTCCACTCAGCTGTGCCCAGCCAGGTCTGGGAAAGTTATAAATGCTCCCGTGGGACCTGTGGGATCCTCTGTCCTGCAGGGATTCACGGGGGCTTCTCCAGGAGGTGCCAAACCCCCTCTGTGCCCTCACCCTCTGTGGTGCCAATGCCACATCCTGGGACAGCGCCCAGGAAGCATCGCCCTGCGTGGCTCAGCTCCACAGTCCCGTGAGATGAAAGCCTGTCATCATCCTCTTAGTGACAGCAAATTTTGCATTAATTGGCTCATTAAGCGCCGGGCTGATTTTCTAAGCTGCCCTCCCCCCCGCCGGCTCTCCAAAGCAGGATTAGGGATGACGCCTTTGGAGATGCCGGATCCCAGCAGAGGCCTGGAATGGTTTTGGGAGGGAGCCCCAGCTTCTGGGTAGGCTGGGGGCTGTGCAGGGCTGTGTTTTGGCCGGGCAGGAGCAGAGCCCAGATGGCCAGTGTCTGTGAGCCGGGGATTTTCGTGCGAGGCGATTGCCTTGGCTGTGGAAAGCCACAACAGGATGTTTAGGGAAGGATGAAGGTAATGCCGAGAGCTGGAAAYGGCTCAAACCCCCAGCACTAAGAACTTGCTCTTCTTTAAAACCTTCTCAGTATCTTCAGAGGCCACAGGCAATCAGGTCCCAGTTTTATAACCAGATTTATTTGAGGTGCTGGAGTCACTCCCTGGAAGGACTGGGGTGCTGCACTGAGGCACTCCCGACCTCATCACACAAYACCCGGCTGGAGCAGCATCCCTGCACAGGAGGCTCCTGCTAAGGGTTGGGTTTTTTGGGAGCAGGAGCTGGGCAGGTTTGGCTCCTGTTTCCCCTGGCACCACTGACCCAATGGGTGGGAAAGCCCCAGTGACCAGAGGAGGAGAGGATTTGGCTCTGCTGTGTTATTGGGAATAGCGCAGGAGAARGGAATGGGAATGATCAGTTTTCCCCTCTGGTGTTTCACCTGGCAGGTGCATCCCACGTGCTGCTGGCAGCTGATTTCCTSTGGGACAGGGGTTCTCTGCCTTTCCTCCAGGAGGGCAGCGAAAAGACAAAGCCCTTTTCTGCTCCATGCAAATCCCAGCCCCATCCCTGGCACCGCATGATGCAAAACAGACTGGGGCATCCTGTGAGCCTTCTACCACATCCCCAGCACATGGCCAGCCCTGCTCACCCTGCCCTGTCCCAGCCCCGGGGTTTCGGGCAGGGAAGGAATGTCGGGGCTGTCACAAACAAATAGGGCGGTTTCGGTTTCTCCCACAGTGAAATCTCCCGGGCTGGGTCCCAGCCAAAAGGAATCCCGGTGCTGATGCTGTGCCTGTTGTAGGCAGGACCCAGGAGTGGGATTTGATGCTTTTCACGCTCCCAATTATCCCGGGTTAAATGAGGTGGAACCCCTGCATGGTGTCCTCCCTCCCTCAGCAGCCGGTGGCTCAGCCCTGTGTTTGTCAAACGAGTCCCTGAAACCCTGGGGTTGTGGATCTGGGTGGGGAAGGGCTGCTTCTGTCCTCTGAGGGCTCTGCTTCCCCATTTTCATTTTCTTGGGTTTGACAAGGACTGAGAAGGTCAGATCCTGCTGGTGAGGAGCTGCTGGGCAGAGCAGGGTTCTCACCCCACACATTGCACCAACACAGACCCACAGGTTTGTTTGMCACCACCATCACCTTCAACCCACCAGAACATCCCCCAGCACACTGCAAACCCCAAAACTGCATCTCCTTCACCCCAGGCTGGGTCCAGCCTTGCAGGGGAGATGCTCCTTCTTGGTGCTACCACGCCAAGCCCTGACAATCCCCCTCACCAGCCCCGAGCTGCCTTAATCCATGGCCCTGCTTAGGGGTCTGGGCAAAGATTAGCYGGAAACGTTCCCAGTGATTAGGGCTTAAATCGCTTTGACATTTCACATCTTCTTAGGACTCACAGGTGAGACCCCAGCAGCTGTAAATCCCCTCAGTCAGTCCTCGAGGGAGTTACAGCTCCTGCACTGCTGGGGAATGAGCTTTACCCTGTTCTGGGTGTCAGATCAAGCTGCTTTGAGTCGTAAATCTCCTTCTGCTGGAAAGGRAATGCCCATAAACTGTAAAAATGGCAGGGCAGCACTGTGGATCTGCTCTGAGAGTCCCTTGTGCCACTTGGAATTTGGCTGGAAAGGGAGCAGCCCTGGAGCAAAGCAAACATTATTCCACCCACAACACAACACCCAGCAGACAAGCCTGGTTGGCATTTAGGCACCAATTTATTTGAGTTTTAGGGTTTTCTCCAAACCAGATTCTTGGCTGGTAGCAGAAACTAGAAAAATTTATGTTGTACATTCACAAATACATTTAGAAAAGCAGGTAAATAAATACATGTACACAAACAGCAAGATCCCCCRAGGTTCAACACAAGCACTTGGCGGGAGCGAAAACACAAACTCAGGCTGAAATTTGGGCTCTGTTTGATTGACAGACTCTTTCGCCCCCTCCAGGTGGGGTTTAAGCATTTCCCACCGCTGGCACTGTCGAGGGGTTTTCCTTAAAAGATTTTAAATCCACAGCTCAGAAGTTCACCCCACATCCAGGTCRCCATCGAGGATTGTCCTCCCATCACTAAATCTTGGTCCTTGGGTTCCCAGGCACCACAGGCCCTTGGCAGCAGCYGATGTCAGTCTGGGCTGTCGCAGTGATCTATCCTTAACTTCTCTCTGTTCTGCTGAGACAGAAGGAAACATTCTCAGAATCATGGAATGCTTTGGATTGGAAGGGACCTTTAAAGCTCATCCAGCAGGACAGGGACAYTTTCCAYTGCCCSAGRTTGCTCCAAGCCCCRTCCAACGTGGTCTGGAACACTTCCAGAATGGGACAGCCACAGCTTCCCCAGCCCCTTACCCTAACTCTCTGCTGGGAGCTCATCCTCCTCCTCACCTGGAGCATTTTGCCGTAGGGTGATGCGAAGGAATCCTCCAGGTAGCGAGTTCCGAAGCCCATGATCCTGTTCACGGTCTGGCTGCAGATCCCCGCCACCATGGCCGTGAGATGCACGGTGTAGGCAAACTGGATCTCCTGGGGGTTGACACCAGCCCTGCTGGCCGTCAGCTCCCGCTGCACGTAGGCATCAGCCAGGCTCTTGAAGGAGCTGTAGGACATGTCCCTGAAGAAGAGCTGCAGCCGCGCGTCCTCCCTCACCTGGTGGGACACAAGCATGAGGGAAGGGCTCAGGCACCCTCACTGATTCCTYCAYTCCACACCAGCAGCTGGGRGAGGACAGACAGACAGACAGACAGACAGCCGCGACCACGCCCGAGTAAGGAATTAAAATCGCCATTTCCTTGATTTTTTTTACTGAACGTTTTCCTGCCCGGGGAAATGGCGTTGCTGGATTTGTTTTGCAGCAGCACCGGCTCAGCCCAGGTTCCCTCAGCCCCTGCAGATGCCCCAGTTCTGCTCTCACCTGCCTGTCCAGCTCATCTCCTGCGCTCCGGAGCAGGGCAACGATTCTCCTGATGGCTTCATCTGTACAGAGAGACACCACGTTACCTCCTGCTCTTTGTCCAAGCCTCACACAGCCAGAAGTTCTGCTTAGACCTCAGGAAAAATTCCCTGAGCAGTTTTTATCCACCCCATCTTATCAAAACCCGTTTCAGCCTATTGCCTTGTTACCTTCAGCCAATAAAAATACGCTCCTGCCGCTGAATTTTGTCCTTGGTGTGGAATAGTGGAAGGTATCCCTGCCCGTGGCAGGGGGGCAGGAATGAGATGTTCTCTAAAGTCCTTTCCAACCCCGAAACCATTCTGGGATTCCCCAAATTTCCCTTCCTCGCCAATCAAACCCTGATGGTGAAAATCTCCCCCAAAATCTCTGTCTCAAAAGCCTTGGGATCGGGATTGAGCAGGGTCAGATCCCGTGCAGATTTGTTTCCAAGTCCAACACAACACTCACCGACCCCGTCGGTGCCGGGGGGCTGCGGTTCCTCCCCCGGCGCTCCCGCGCTGCCCCCGCGGCTCTCGCTGCCCTGCACGATCAGCCCGATCTCCTCCGACACYTGAGTGTAGTACCCATCGGGCCGCTCCGCTTCTACAGGGACACAAACACGGATCGGGGGTGAGGATGGCTTTTGTCGGGGCTCAGCAGCGGCCGGGAGCACCCCGCCGGTGCCGGTGCCRGTGCCCGGCCCGGATTAGCGCATTCCGAAGGTGAAGGAAGCGGCCACGCTCCCTGAGCCGCCACCGAGAGGCTGCGAGAGATGCCCCAAATCCGCCAAAGCTCCTCAGCAATGCCCCAATTTTGGCACGGTCAGGACAAGGCTGGGGTGGGTTCGGGCATCCCTCGGGCTGTGCAGCGCCAGCTGCCCGCTCCCGGCCGCACGGCAAATCTCAAGCGGTTTAACGCCGGCCCTAGAGTGGCTTAGGATCTAATCTCAGGTCTCAAATGCAGGTTTAGACTAAAGCACYGTGACCCTTGGTTGAGAGAGGAGGAAAACCTGTGCTTGGGTGATTACTGCCGACAGCTGCCTCRGGCTGGGTGCACTCGCAGCGCGGGYAGAACGACCCTGGCKCAGCAGGYTGGAGTCTCCAAAACCACTCCCAAATCCCAGAAAACGCTGGGAAGGGGTTAGAAACCAGCACTAAACATGATGGCTTTCCCCAAAGAAGGGAGGGGGTCAGGGCTAGGCTGGGGTCTGGGGTCCCACCTGGCTGGGCCGGGGCCAGGACGTGCCGCAGGGGAAGGCAGCCGGGGCGCTTGCTCCTCGCCCCGGATCCCGGCTCTCCCCGCTCCTCCTCCCCGTGCTTCTTCAGCGAGAAAACCTTCTTGAGGCTGGGTTTCTTCTTCAGGGCTCTGCCCGACGGCGGGGACGTGCTGGAGTCCACTCTGTGTTTTTTCGCTCCTTCTGGTTTGGAACCCTGAGGAGCTTTGAACTCCTTCTCCTTTGCTTTATGCCCTGCGTTTTCCTTCTGCTCCTCAGGGCTCTTCTTGAAGAAGAGATTTAAGAAACTTTTCAGCCAGGTTGGTTTTGAACCCGAGTGCTGTGTTTTGCCCAGGGAAGAGCTTTTTGTGCTTTTCCTCTTGGGCTTCAGTCCCTCTTTAGGCACCTCCTGGAAAGCTTTGCTGTCRTCATCCAAAACCTCTTCCAGGTCTGGCGTTTTGARTTTCTCTTCCTGGTCCTTTCTGGGGCTGGCTTTGTCACGTGAATATGTGCAGAAATCACTCTCTGACCGCTGYAGCCCATCTATTTTCCTCCCTCGCCCTCTGTCCTTCTCCTGAGGGGATTTTTTGGCCCCCAGTGAGTTTTCATGGCAGCTCAGTGAGCGCTTGACATAAAACTCCARCACTTTCTTGGCCCCTCGCCTGTCCAGCGAGAGGATCTTGCCCGACGGTTGCCTCCCCACATCCCACCGAGGCATCTCCGCTGCCGGAGTCCGAGCTCTGCTGTGGATAAAAACATTTTCAGCCTGGTTTTTGCCTTCTCCAGGCTGCACAGTCGGGTTGGGCCTCATGAAACCTCCCTCATTCAGGGGTGCTGGGGTGTCCRGGGTTGTTTGTGCTCACGGTTAATGATCAGTCGGTTTTATGGTCGTTATCTGCGAGCTCCTGATGCAGACAGCCCACGTGGGGTTTTACAACCACAGCCTCGATAAAGGAACCGAAACCATGGGGAGGGCAGAGATGGGCTGGGCACATCCCAGAGGGGAAGGTGGTCATCACCCRGGGGGTTTGACCCAGCAAGGACATCACCCAGGCTCCATCCCATCATCCCACAGAGTGTTCCCACACTCCGATGAAAAATAGCACCCCAGGAGCACCCGAAAAGCACACAACCCAGAGTTTGGGGCTGTTTCTCCTTAAAATATTGGCTGCTAAAAATCATCCCAGCCCCTGGAGAGGCCAAGGGATGTGGGCTCTTGGAAACAGCCTCGGTCACCTGGAGGTGACACAGCCCTTCCATGAGCTCCCACCAGCRCAGGGCTGGGAACAGAGCTGGGAGCACCATCCCCTGCCCTTCCGATCGCCCTTCTGCTCTACATTTACCAGCAAAATTCAACTAAAGACACTGCTACTGGAAAAACAGAGAGCCAGAAGAGTGCCTCTTGCTGGTTTGACCTCTGAAACCAACCACACCCTGCAGAGGATCAGACCCAAACCCGGCTTTCTCCACCAGTGACCAGCATATGGGGAGCCAGCACCAAAACACAGCTTGTACAGAGCACCCTGGAGCTGGGAATCAGCCTGAGAATCGAAGGACATCATCCCAAAAGACAGCACACCCACCCACCCCACCTGGGCCCACTTTTGGGGTCAGAATGACAAGTTTCCTTCACCCAATCAACACCAAAACCCACCAACCACTCCATAATAAATCATTCCCCTAAATTTAATCCCRACAAAGCCACGACCCCCACCCTACTTCGATTGATTCCAATACATTGGTTATTTATTGGTTCAGTTTTTACCTTTCCATCAGTATTTCTGCCTCTTTGGACACGGGTCAAGACCACTCCTGGGCCACGGGTGCTGTGGGATTGCGGGCTCTCCTGGGAGGTGCCTTTTTTATACCCGAGCTGGTGGCTGAGTTCAGCCCTATTTTTAGCAGCCATTCAGGTAGGAGAGCAGCCCACGCTTCCGCCTGGGATCGCCGCTATCACCGCCCTCGTGGCCGAGAGCCGCGGGCGGGAGTTTCACTGGAGGAGAAAACCATTTCCTGATGAACAAGCAGCAGCAAAACACCACGGAATCACCTGTCACCTGGTGTGAGCACTGCCCTTTGAGACCGGCTATCTCAGGCAGCTGTTGGCTCCGGGGTTTGGTTGGGTTTGTTTGTTTTTTTCTGGGTGTGATGCCCTAAATGGGCTCTTCGGGGTTGTTTTTGTGAGGGGAAGTCACAAGTTCCTCGGACCAGCGGGGTTTCGGTGCAGGAAGCAGAGCTCACATCCCGGGAAGTCCCGGGCAGCCGCTGTGGGGTCACAGGCACGCTGGGACAGGGCACTGTGGGRTTRTTGCCCAACYCTGGGCAYGGCTGGGCTGAAACMTCMCTGAAATGCACCCTGGGGTCCTTCMGGCAGCCCACGCTCACACCCTAAAACACAAACCCTGAACCCTTTCCCATCCYCTGGCTCCCACCCAGGGATGGAGCATCCCCCACCGGGCACATCTCCCCATCCCAACACCTCCAAMCCGCCCCGGGGCCGAGCAAATCCCACCCCAAAGCTCCGTTTGGCCGCCCTGTGCCCTCTCCCGCATCCTCAGCAGGTGYTTCCCGCTGTTCCCATCTCCGCTTTGCCATCTGACGGTAAAATCCCGCACTGCAGCTCGCAGGGATGGGGCCGGGCGCGGCTGCTTTTGCTGCGGGCATGCCGGCTTTAGAAAACCCCTCTTAGGAAAACCCCTGGGGGAGATTTCCACCCGAACAGCGCCGCTCTGTCTGTTTTCAGCTGCAGCCAAGGTGTCTCCTGGATAAAAACGGCCTTTTCCTGATGTGGGGTTCGGCTCGCAATCAGAGCGCTGCAGGATTATTTTATTTCTCTTTCTATAAACTCTCCGTGCCGCAATTTCCTAYGACTGGGAGAGATCCAGACCACGTCCCTCTGTTTCTCCTGAGCCCACACGGTGAATCAGTCTGGTATTGATCAGGAGTTACCTGGCTGGGTTTTGCAGCATCCCCATCCACTGATAAATAATTAAACCCTCGGAGAGGAGCTCCAGGCTGCTCCCCAGCTCTCATCCACATCCTTCCATAAACAAGTCGATTCCAGGGGCTGAGGAGGAGTTTCACAATCAATTTTGTTGGGTTTTTTTCCCTCTCCAAGATCCATAAAATAAAAAGCCACATCCCCTCCAGCCATGGAGGTCAGTTTGGCCATGTCCAGTTTGGAGATTTTGCTCCTGGTCATCACCCAAGGCTGAGCCCAAACCCCATCCCTGCTCACGGAGGGCYCCTCGTGATTCAGCYRGGAATCAGCACTGATGTATGGGGTSTTTGTRGCAGCATTTCMAGGCACAGCCTGAAGAAGGGAGAGCCAAACTCAAGGRAAAATCTTGACCTGAAAGCTCAGATCCCTCCTGGGATTTGGGACATATTCAAACCTAGTGRGAGACAGGCACAAAAAAAAAAAATACAAGAGACTGAGATGCACAAAAAACCTGTCACCAGAGGTCCGGATGCAAATTTTTCGTCCACTTTTGTTAACAGTGTTGGGAGAGAATGAGGAAGCTGGSAGGAGATGTGGTCGTGGGGAGGGAGCGCACAAGGCTGGGGATATTGGAGGGAAAAGCAGAACTAAACCCATGGGGACAGAGCAGGGGATAACCAGCTCCYGTGCAGGAAATTGCTTCAGAAAATGGGAAAAAACCCGAGGGAGAGGCATTCCCCACATGGAGCTGTGAGGTGAAGAGGGTGATAATGGGCTCAGAAGAAAGCAGGGGTGAAAGAGCCCAAATTTCTTGGGTGAGAATTGGACATGGGGAGAACTCTCCTCTGCAGGAAGG